TTTACATCATTAGTGCTGGAAAAAGATCAGCTGCTCCTCCTCTGATTGGCTCTTCTTCTCTGCTTCATATCAGTGTCAGGTGAATGCAGTCAGACAGCAGAGAGGCAGAGGAAGCTGCCATCAGCTGCTGCACTTCTACTATCAGTCCACTAGATGGAGACATGGAGCAACATTTACATTCACTGATTCAACCTGAACAACAGGAAATATTTTATTCCATATTTATTGAACTACCAGCTCCATCAAAGATTAACTATCTTAAAATCTGACTGAATTTAACACATTTTAAAAATAATATTTTTTTTTAAGCTGTTTTGTTTAACTTTAATAGTGAAAACCAGAATTTGAATCCAGGAAATAAAAACATAAAACAGTTTGTTCAGAGAAGATCATTCAGCTCTTCATCAATTTGTTGGATTCTAGTTTATCATTAATCTAATAATCCCTTAGATTAAACAGCAGAGATTAAACTTTGGGTTCTAGTCACTAGTTTTCTGTTCTCCAAACATCAAAGAAAAAAATAAGAAACAAACATTAAAGTTCCTGAAGAAACAAAGAAAACTTACAGTTTGTTCAAATGATCCAAACAGCTGAAGAAGAAAATCTGAACAATAGAGACTCAACAGAACCGCAGTAGAACCAAACTGGTACCACAACTGAGTTTAAACTGAAAGTGTTATGAGGAGAAATGAACCCAAACTGGTTTAACTGGTCAGACTGACTGGGAGTCAGAGGAAAGTTTACTGCTGACGACTGAAGACATGAATTCTTCTCACAACGCCCAATTTAAACACAAACACTCTGTTGCTGTTATTTTAGTGATCCAGGTTCTGTTCAGCTCTTATGGAACCAGAACCTGTTTGAACTTGGTACCAACTGGAATCTTCAATGGTGGGAAATTTATCTTCCTCTTGAGGTGAAACTACAACCTGCAGGATGTCTGATAATTAAACCCAGATTAAGTTTTTAAATGATCCAAACATGTCAGTGATTATATAAAGTGATCAGAACCAGAACCAGTTCTGAGGTTTCATTCATCAGGATGTGAATTAAACATCATCTGTTCCTCTGCAGCTTTTGAAATGAACTCAATGCAACAGCAGTAAACATTATATTGAATCATAATTTATTAAAATGAATCAGAACCAAAGTGCTGAAGCAGTGAGTAAAAAACTAAGTCCAACATTTCTGCTTCCACAGCAGGTCAAAGGTCAACAGTAAAACTGCTGGTCAGATTTAAATCTGTATGTTAATTATTTTCATCCCTTTGACACTAAATATAAATTAGTTTATAGTTTAATGCAATTATGGCATGAAAAACACATAAAAACAAGAATCTATTAAAATATAAACTAAGAGAAAATAATCTGAAAACTGAAACAAAGGAACAAACTCAACTGTATCCTTAATATCACAACACGACTGCTGCTGAAACCACACAGAAAAGTACCGTCTCCTAGCAACCTCTCAGCCAATAGAATCCAAGTGTTACATTGGATTTTATAACATTGGATTATAGAGATTATAGACGGGTTAGAAGGAAACTCATTGTGTGTCTGATGAATCTGTCTAGATAGAGATTCTGTCTATTCTAACAATATAGGAACAATCTAGATAGATGTTAGAAAACCCATAAAGCTGATAAAAATCAACATCTATTCTTTTGATAGAATCCTGTGACTCTTTAAAGTTTAACTAACCTCTGAAATCTAAACCAACTCATTGCAAATATTCTGTTCCAAGATGGATCAGAAAATGATTCACAGGCAGGAAGAGAGTTTTGCAAAGATTTGATTCAAGGAGAGAAAAGTTTTGATCATAAGAAAAAAGGTTTGAGAAAAAACTGTGAATATTTGAAAGAGAGCAGAAGTTTTGAGTTCAAGCATTAAATGTTTTTAGAGGAAAGACACGACTTCCTGCTTTCAAACTGATAATTATGGCAGAAATATTCCTCCATAGCCTGGAACAGAATGTCCCTGAGTCATAACATTCAGACTGGATGAACCGGTCGCTGGTTTTGCTTTTATTTCCTTGTTTCTTCTTTTCTCCTCAGCTGTCATGTCAGGTGAACAGCCAGTAGGTGGCGCTAGAGTCACCTGATCTGTTTCCAAGCAGTCAGAGTGTAGAAGTTGAGAGCTGGAGAAGTTTCCTCCTGTTGCTGCAGCAGCAGAGATGTTCTGCTTCATGGACTAAATCAGGTTGGAAAGAGGAGAGATCTTTACTGAGCTGCAGGATAAAAGCTGCTGAAACATTTCAACTCTTTCTGGAAACTAATGAGACAGAAAAACAATGGATGTTTTTACCATCCAGACCTTTAGAACCAGTTCAGCTCAATAATTCAGTTGTATCTGTGGAAGATGAACAGATTTGATGTGAAATGATGAAATTCTTCTTTTCCATCTGATGTTCCAGCAGATCTGTAGAAAATGGAGCTGCAGCTCTCAGATATTTCATGTTTTCTATCAATGAATCCACTGATTAGCTCCAACTCCTCCAGAAGAAGCTTAGCATCTTTTTCATAATCCTGCAGATGCTTCTTTGTTTTTTGTTGTCTTGGCATGCATTATTTGTGTCTTTCTGTCCTTTCTGCTGCAGCAAAGATGATGGAATGGTCTTAGTAGGAAAGGTTTTGGGGGGCAGGGTGATCTGTCTAAGGCCCCATATTACCTTGGACCGGCCCTGGATGACTCCCCCCCCACCCCCATGTCAGTCCACTGATGCTTTGGGGACTTTTTGATTCATTTAATTGTGGCATGTTTGGCTTTATGCTGCAGTTCTAATTATTGCTCCAATATTTTCTCTGATGATATTTTTAGGTAACTAAAATGCTTTGGGCCGAATCTTCCTTTAACACTTGAGGTTCTGCAGTAATTTCTATTGACAGCTGAACCTGCAGCCCAGATCCGTCAGCAGCTGCTTACCGCCATTAAACATTTGATCATTAAGTTTTCCCCAAACTTTTATTTTAGTTTTACTGTGTTTTTCCACTTGTAGACCCGGTTAAATTAGGGACCAAAATTCCAACATTTGTTATATTTTCAGGCCTTTTAAATACAACACATCTGGAAAGTTTTCATATTGATTTACTTTTTCCACATTTTGCTATTTTACAGCCTTATGTCAAATAAAGCCCAGGCGTAAATTCAAGCTGGGAGACAAAACACAGCTGATCCCCATCACTCACAACAAGCCGCAGCCAACCAGGATCGACGCCTCGCTAAGCCGGTCCCTTTAAGGAGCCTAGTCACCGGGTGTCTGCCTGCTCGTCAGCCGTGCTTCATCCCGTCTCCTCCCCATCTCCACCTTCAGCCTGACGAACATCCTCCAGGCCCACTCTTTGTTCCTCCTCCAAGGCTCCGCTCCATCACCAGGATTCGGACCAGGGGCAAAGACTAGTGAGCTTCGCCGGACTCATCATCCACCCTCGGCGATCCTCAGCTCACTAGTCTTCTGCCGGGTTCGAATGCCAAAGAACTTGTTCATTAAAATCTTCTAACTGCTTCTTTTCTCTGTGTGAGTCGATACAGATTGAAATTGTAATTGTACAATATTCTACACACAAATACCACAATATGAAAAAAGTAAATATTCTAAGACTAAAGTCATAATTCAGTGGAGAAAAAATATATAATTCTGAGAAAGAATTTCCGAGATTATTTTAAATCTTGAGAATTCAGAGAAAAAAGGTCAGAAATTAGTAAAGAGTCATAGAAAAAAATTCTGAAATTAAATTCAGAAAAGTTGTGGTATTTAAGTTAGAATTCTAAATTTCAAAAGTAATTTCAGCTTTTTAAACTGTAGAAATTTTCAGATTAATCAAACAGCAAAAGAAAAGTTCCACAAATTTTCAAAATATTTTTCAGAGCTCAGAAATTTTTTTTCCCAGAAAATTTTCAAGATTAATCTCAAAATGTTTTGTCTCAACATTTTTGGAGTTCAAAAATTTCCACATTTTTCTTAGAACATTTCTCGCTAAATATTGTCTTGCAAATTTTCGAGCTCAGAAATTTTCGATTTTTTTTCTAGAAATTGTCTGAGCTTTTTCTGGCTGTTGTTACTTTTCAAACCGAAAAATGTCTGTTTCTTTCGAGACCAGTTCTGAAATAATTCTCAAAATTTCCTCGTTTTTTTTGCATAAATTTACCCTTTTTATGACCTGTATATTCATCGTAGGTGAGCAAAGACTTTTGCACAAGCCAGTTTAACCTTAAATCTTTTTATTTACAGAACAGTACATGTTTTCAGGAACAACAACATAAAGAGGTTCGAGTCCTGCCTGAAAAGCGGCAGACCCCAGCACCATGATGAGCCCATTATCGGACAGCCGTCCCCCGGCTCACAGCTCACCCAGCTCCCGCTGCAGCCGCTCCTTCTCCCGCTGGAGCTCCGCGATGCTCTGGTGGTTCTGCTGGAGCCGGTCCTCCAGCCACTGCAGCAGCGGCCCGCTGACGGCGGACATCTGGCTGCACAGGTTCTTGGTGAACACCGAGCCGTTGTGGATCTTGGTGACCGGGTCCAGGTGGGACAGCCCGTGGATCCGGCGGTACGTGTCCTGCTCCTCCTGGCACAGGATCCGCGGCAGCTCCACGGCGGACTCCAGGCACGCCTTCCCGATGGCCTCGCGCGGCACCACGTGTACGGGGATTTCCACTCGCTCGTACTCGGAGCCCTTCTGCGCCTGCGCGGACTGGAAGCAGGTGTAGAGGACGCGGCCGGTTCTGGTGTTCTTGTCCTCGATGAAGCAGGAGAAGATGAGCCCCACGAAGCACTGGTCCAGCATCTGGTACATGGCCTGCGTCCGCACGTCGACGTGGGACGGCCACACGGTGATGTGCGGGTGGGAGTGGTACCAGCCCACCACCCGCATCGGCCGGCCGGTGGAGTCCGCCAGCCGCTCCGCCTCGGTGGAGGCGGCGGACAGCTGCTCCGGGGAGATCTCCACCCGGTCCTTCCGCTTGTCGGAGCGGCGGAGGATGATGACCGAGTGGATGTGGACGATGCGGGACGCCTCCACCTCCCCGATGCATAACCCCATCACCTCCTCCTTCTCGGTGCTCAGCGCGTGGTTCATGCAGACCAGGAAGGCGTCGGACTCCAGGTGAACCGCGCTGACGGCCATTTTCAACCCAAAACTCGAGTTTCTGTCGCCAAGAAGAGAGGAAAACAAAGTAACGCCAAGACGCGCTCACTTCCGGGTTCCTCTACTTCGTTTCAGCTCGCTGTGCTTCAGCGCCCCCCGGTGGCCCAGAATGGCTCTGCAGTGACGTCATCAAAGTTTAAATATTTAATAAAACTGAAAATAAATACAGAATTTTTTTATATCATCGAGCATTCCTCATTCACAAAATATATAAAATACGTAGAATTGTGGAAAAACAAACTAAATTGAACTTTTTATTTTAAGTTTTTAATTAACAGAAGATGGAAAATTCCCCACATTTATCATTTATATAAATAACAAACCTAAAACAGAGACATATAAAACAAAAATCCAACTAAGGTGTTTATTTACATTTTAATTTCATAATTTAACATTTAAAATATCTCATATATACAGGGAAAAAATCAATGAAGTCATTGGTTTGCTTCATAATGTGCTTCATTACAGGAACAAGAAATATTTTAATCAATCTTGAAATAATTCTAGTTTTTAAAATTAAATCAAAGCATTTAACTGAGGCACATTTAACGTAATAAGTTATTTATTGTAATTTGTCACTGTATATATGACTCATCTACATATTATCAACTACAGACATATTTATTTTTAACTTTCATGACTTAATTAACCAGATTAAATAACTGAAATCTGAAAAGTGTGGCATGCATTTAGCCCTTTATTTTGATGCCCATAAATGAAATTCAGTGATTTATGGGCGACCACCTCCTAAATGTTTTTGAAAATCAAACATTTCCAGCAACAATAAAATAAATGAGAGTTTTCATGTTTTCGTGTTGCTGCTTGTTTCTTGACCTCTGGTCCCGACAAGGTGACCAATCAGGGTGAGAGGGTCTGACTGTGGCTCAGATAAACACCGCTAGGCTGGGCTATGCTGGGACTGTTAAGACCTCTGAAGCTGCCGTTCCGCTCAGCAATGCGAGGGTGATAATCCTTCCTCTGACCCATGAGCAAAACAGAGAAAATCTGAAGAAACTTTACTTTTAACGCCGGGCGGCATGTTTTTATGTTTGTTCCATCATCATGTAACATGTTTCCAACCTAATGAAACAAGGTGAAGTTTTTAAAAGATGATGTTTGAGTTTGGAGGAGAAACCAGTGAATCCAACAGCTGAAAGTTTTGTTTCTTCATTTGTTTTTCAGCTTCAGCATAATGTTTAAAAAGTTAAAGTTCAGGAGGATGACATTACAAATACATCACAATTTTTAAAAAGGTGAAAAAAAAACAAAAATTCAGGCAGTGGCGCCTTCAAGAGGGGGAGATGAGGGGCCCTGGGCCCCCAAGCAGCTCATACAAAGGCTCACCTGCTTCAATCAAGACACAAATATAAAACTCAGTAAATACATAAAGACATAAAAAAAATATATATATATTTCCTTGTGTATTATTATTATTATTATTTATTTTTCTGTTCTGCCACTAAAATTCTATTGTTATTTCTTTACAATAAACTTACAAACAAGCTACATCAATGAGAAGTTTAAAAATGGACCAATTATTTTATTTACTTTATTTATTTTCTATTCTGTCACTTAAATTTCAACTTATTTTTTGTTGGTCAAAAGCTTATAAACAAACTTTCTGCGTCGATTCAAAGTTTAAAAATCACCTAATATTTATTTATTTTTAATATTCCTGATGTGATCAGAACACTGAATGTTTTCTGGGAGTTTTGGGCCAGAGTGGGACCCAACATGTGATTTCAAGACTATATTTTCTGTATTTAACAGCTTTTAGTGTAATTGATCAGATCAATAACAGAAGCACAGCATTGATTAGGCATAACTGTGGGAAGGAGACATAAAACCCACTGAATAAAACTCAGCAGTTAAAATCCCAGCAGATGTTTTACTGAAATCCAGCCAAAAGCACGACTTTAAAGAAAAGAGTCAGATAAAGTCAATAAGAAGGAAGAGAGAGAGGAAGAGGAGGAGGAGTTACAGGAGATGAAGAGCTCTGCAGAAAGAAACCAAAGCTGCCAGAAATCGGTCAGCTCGTCCTCACTGGATTTGTGGATCTTTGTCGGTTCTCCCGCAGCCTTCCTGTTTCCAGGCGATGAGCGCGGCTCGGATCCATGACAAGCAGAAGCTGCGATGGTTCTGGGAGGAGAGGATCGTCCAGCACAGCCGGCAGATGGACCAGGAGGAGAACCGCATGCGGAGCAGCGCCCTGACACGGTCAGAGGACGTTAACGCTGCGAGTCAAAGGTTTTATCCAGGACGAGTCTGACTGATGCCAACAACAGGTCTTAGTTAAAAACGACGTCCTGCTGAAAGACAGCAAAACATTTTACAACTAAACCAACAATACAAGGAGCCATCAGAAACTTAAACAGCAGCTTCCATCAGATTTAAAGGTTTTATTCTTCCTTGAACAAGTCAGACAAAATCACTGCTTAATAATTCTCAGATAATGAGATTTTCTGCTCCTGTTTAGGGCATCTGTCTCTTTAAATCCAAATTAGCTGCTGCCAGCCACGCCCACCAAATTCAAGCTTACACATCTTTGAAAAGCAGAAGTGTAGCCTCCTGCACAACCAACAAGAATCAAGCAAGTGGCTTATGGATGGAACATCAACAACAAAACAGTTGAGTTTTCCAGCAGCCATTGTACAAACATGCTGGAGCTCCGCTTGGGTTGCTTGGTAACGGGGCTGGGTTGGATGTCGTTGCTAGGTAACGGGGATGGGTTGGATGGCGTTGCTAGGTAACAGGGATGGGTTGGATGGCGTTGCTAGGTAACGGGGATGGGTTGGATGGCGTTGCTAGGCGTTATTACACTAAGCAGTTTTATTTGTACTGTTTCAGGAGTGAAATAATGGATTTACTGTGTTAGCATCTTGGCACTAGCATGCTAGTTACCTTGCTAGCTTAGCAGCTAACTGGTTGTTCATAGCAGCGGCCATCACTTTTCTATACAAACATGTTTAAATAAAAACCTGAAATAAAAAAGTCATTTAAAATAACAAGTTTTGTTTATTGTTATTAAGTTATTATGGGATGGATTTGAGATTTCTCTCTCTGTTTCTGAACTTTGCTTTAGTTTCATGGACGAACTGCTCGCCCTGGTGTCAGACAGGAAGGGAACTAAAAATAACCTTTATTAGCCAGGGATCCAGAGACGGACGGGTTCATTAAATGCCTCGGCCGTGTTGGCAGCTTGTTTGTCTGTCATCGCGTCGTTGCCTGAGAATGTTGATTAGAGGCGGCGCGGCCGCAGGTTTGAATCCCGGAGATCAGCAAGACAATCACTTAATTAATCCCTCAGTCAACACGGCTTTCCTCTTTCCACAACAAGAGACGTCCTGCTGCAACGACCCGGGGTCAACTCTGCAGGACAGAGCGAGAAAAACACAAAAGCAGCAAATTTTCCACTACATATTGTTATAAAAACACTTTAAAAATTACATTTATTAGCCAAATCACTAAGCAACACAATTAGCAAGCTAGTGGAAATGTACCTGCTTCCTTTTGAATATGTTTTATTTTCCATCCATATGATCCAGTAAATGGACGGATTCCTGCTTTTGCAGAACAATAACTGTCTGTCTGACCTTCCTGACCTTCCTGACCTCCAGGTTGTCTTTCTCTCCTCTTCAGGCTCAGGGAGCAGTGGCTGCTGCGCCTCAACCTGAGGAACCAGCACCAGCAGCACTTCTTCGAGGAGAGGAGACAGAGACTGCAGAAAGCGTCTCAGTTTCTCCAAAGGATCAATTAACCAACAGATCAACTGATTCCATGGAAACGTCTGAATCTTTGACAGCAGAAAGAGAAAAGATCAAATAAAAAGTACTGACATCAAAACTTCTGTCATTTTCCAGTCTTTTTATTTGTTCCTACATGTAAAACTCAAATCCACTTTATGAAATATTTAAAATAAACAGAAATTAATTATTTAAAAGTTTCTCAAACAATAACTTTATTCATGCAGCACATTTCCAAAGTTATCCAGCAAAACGAAACGTTCAGAATGATCAATTATTATCTAGTGACATGAATCTTAATGTTAAAACTGATAATAAAGTCAGAATGTTATTAAAGCTGAATTTAATTTTATGTGATGAAAAACTGCATTCATCCTAAACAAAGTCCTGATGTTATGAGCAGTGACTGACATCATGGGAGGTTTTGCTCAGGAAGAAATGCATGATGGGAAGCAAACTGTCAGACTGGGTGTGTGCAGCTGAATGGAGACCAGAGGACTGGACTAGTTCCTGGAGTTTATTTATCTTCCTGCTTCTTCTCTGGAGAGAAATGAATCCTTGTTCCAATCAGTGGAATCCAAGTAAACAATGTTTTACTTGCTGTGACAAAAAGCAGTCAATGAAATTCAACCTTAAATAATTGTCAATGTGGTACAAACTTCTCTTTACAATAAAGTTGAACTGGAAACCAGTGAGGTGGAAAGAATTGCTGTTTTCTGACGCTGCGACGCATCATTCTTCAGAAAACTATGAATAAAATCTTAACTGGGTTTATTGGCAGATATTTACTCTGGTCCTGTATAGTCGGTCTAGTCAAAGTACTGCATAGAGAAAAATGGCCGATTACAAGAGTATTCAACATGAGCTTTTCAGGGATTGTCCTGTAGATGTCAGCAGAGAGCTGATGAGATCAAATCTCATCTTTAGATATTTTTACAGAAGCTTTGGGGAAATTTGACCAGGTTGTTTATTTTATGGAGAATTTTCTTTAAATCTTTTATCATTTTTATCTAAATTAAAATGTCATCTTTTTGTATCTTTACCCCTGTGTTACATGTACTTTTGTAAATGCTTAATAATTTTACTTTTGCATATGTTTCCTTATTTCTGACTAGTTTTAAAACTGCAAAGCTTTTCAAACACAATTGATGTTAGTTTAAGTAATTAAAGGGTTAAAATGATTCATGATGAATTCAGTTTAATTTACAGCAATTTGTTGAGAAACTGTTTGTTTTATATTTTCTGTGTTTTCACATGCATCCCTTTTCTTTGGCAGAAACAGTCAGATGTTTTCTGAGCAGTTTTTCTGTCTTCCTGGCAGGAGGAGACGCAGGAAGTCGTTTTAAATTCCTCCTCATTCACGTCTCCATTCATCTGTTTTAAATCCACTTTCTTCAATCCGCTGCAGCTTCTTCTCTCCTCTGCTGCAGTTTGAGTCTCTGGTGCAAAAACACGGCTGGACGTCTGACCTGCTGACAAACTGAAGCTAAAATCACGTTAACAGCTTTTCATCGACTTCTTCCACTCAGACGGTGAAGCGTTTTTAATTAACTTGTTATTTGGAGTCGGCTGGGTGACAATGGGGAGATTACACTCTGATTACTCTGGGATTAAGAGTAGAAAACCTTCCTGATCATCTCCTCATCCCGACATTAGTTCCTGGTATGGGTGATTTTTGTTGAGGTTAAAGTCAATCAAGAATAAAGTTGAATTTTTGGATATTATTTTGGTGGAAATAAGAGATTAAAGTTAGTTTCATTAACCCCAAAGAACTAATTATAAGTTACATTCAGGCTAACCTGCTGCTACACCAACAAGGTACTTAGCAGGTGCTAATGCTAAAGTGCTAACTTCAATTAAAATTTTATCTGCCCTTGAAACTCTGCAAAGCTGGAGCACCAGTTTAATTTTGATGTTCAGGGTTCGGGTTCATATCTTCTCTATTGTTTGCTTTACTTTATGTTTCAAATTTTGATTCAGGAAAAAAAACTGTTTTCACCCACTTCAAAATAAGAGCATGAATATAAACATCAGCGATTCTTAGCAGTAAGTCAAACCTTTAACACAGATGTTGAACTTTATTCAGCTGAAAGTGAATAAATTGCTGCAGAATTTATTTAGGGGAAGCAAAGTTCACTAAACAAAAACGTTAGCTTAGCTTTTAGCCAAATGCTGCAGCTTTATGTGCTTGAATACCAAAATATTGATACAAAATAAACAAAAAATTAAATGGGAACATTTAGGTTTTCACAAGACATATTTTATTTAAATTAAATAGACGCTCTGAATCACATTGTTTTCTTATTTTAGTGAAATGAAGCTGCAGATGAAAGTAAAAGTGACTAAAACGAAACAACAGATGAGACCTTCACTGACTAATGACTGGATGCTCCGGATTTTATTTACAGCCTCAAGTTAACAGATTAAAATCACATACATGCCACACTTTACTGCAATTTTTTATTATTCTCCACCATGAACCAAAACACATTGAATTTTATGGCTAATTAATTGAAATAAACCTGAAAAGGTTGTTTTTATTTTTATTCTTTTTAACCATTGGGAGTTTCAGAAAACCAGGCAACGGACTGCAGAGCAGCTCCTGTTTGTTTTAGATAAGAAAGCAGCAGATAATCAAATCCAAGCTCATCAATAAACTGCAGATAAGAGGCAGGAGAGAACGGCTCCCCTCTGGAAATACCTGCAGATAACAGAGAGGCTGGAAACTGCAGAACCGCCGAAAACAAAACCCTGAGCATCAGCAGCATCAATAAAGCTTTAATTAAACAAACCAGGTGAAAGACAAAACGTCACATCGGATCAGTTTGGAACGAGAATCAGGAAGGATTTTCTTTCACAAAGAAAAAATAAAAATGACTTTGAAACATTTTTTATAAAAATCATATATACAGCTTCCTTCATTTCATTTATACTGAAGAGTATTAGACCCACCGAACAAAAACTTTGATCCGTTTTGAGAACTTTGACTTTAATGTCACATGAATGTCAAGAAAAGAAGCCAGAAGTCAACATGAAAATTCTGAGCCACAATTTTGGGAAAAAAAAATTAAGAAAAAAAAAACATTTTTGGATTTTAATTCTCAGAATTCTGAGAACAAAAGTCACAATTTTGCAAAATTAACTTAAAAGTTCCAGAAATTTTAAAGATTTGTTAAAAATTCTCAGAATTCATAATTCTGAGGGGGGGGGAAAGTCAGAATTTGAGGAAAATGTTAAAATTTTGAGAAAAAAAAAACCAAAAAGTGATTTTAAGAAAAAAGTAAAATCTGAAAAAAAAAAGTTATAATTATGAGGTAAAAACATCTAATTTCTGAGATTTTTTTTATAGTGGCACTAATCTTCTTCCATACATTTAGATCTTTCAGACAAACAGGCTTTACTTTGGAAGAACTCTTAAAATAAATACTGCAGCATCATCAGTTTTATTATCCACGTCGGTTTGGAGCCGATTAGAGAATAAAGTCCGGTGGCGTCAGAAGACCAGGAGCACAGGAAGTAGCAGCAGCAGAGACAGGAAACAGCTGGGAGGAGTCAACCTGACCGCCGCCGAGTGATACCAACGAACCTCTTCATCCGAGTCATCTGGGAGAAAATGAAACAGTCATTAAATTCACGTCTTCAGAGCCATTTAATGTATTTTAAGCTGTTATCTTGTTCTTTCACTTTCTCTAAACTTAGCTTCCCTTATCTCATCTTTCAGCTGCTCTTAAAGAGACACGATTATCTCCAGGCAGGACAAGGAAAACGGTCACTCTCTGCACTCTGCAGCTCGTTTATTTTTGGAAAAACGACACAAGTGAGTGACTGTGTTGACTTCAGATAAAGTACGACCGTTTGCCTTGTCTCTTCTTTAGCTCCAAGAAGAAGATTTAACCTTCAGGATGAAACTCAGAGCAACACATGAATTATCACATGAATTATCACATGAATTATCACATGAATTATCACATGAATTATCACATGAATTATCACATGAATTAGGATGGAGAAAGTTTTACATTATCTGCTGGATGTTTGATACAAACTTTAGTTAAGATATTTCTTTCCAAAAATGTTCTAAGTCTTTATTTAATCATAAATATTTGTGACTTTTCCTCATTTTGAACATGAATGAATGAATGAATGAATGAATGAATTTTTAGGAGAAAAATACAAAAGTAGATTATTTCAGCATGTGTAAGAAGTTGCATCTTTAGACAGTATTTCTAACAAGCTTTAAAATCATAATAACTTTTGGCATCATTTGATTCTCATACAATGCTAACGTTAGCAGTAGCATGTTTGGTGGGACCAGATCAGTTCGGGTCGGTTCTGGTTCAGTTCTGCTGACAAATAAAACAATTTAAGAGGAAATTCAACATATAAACTTTTGACATTTTGCTTTAAAGAACAAAGTTTTGGAACGTCAAACAAAGATCAAACTTGTGTTTCTTTTCTTTTCTGGTTTCAACAAACATCCCAAACTCAACGTCAGAGTTTCTGCTCTAAGGTTTGATTGTTCAGGAGTTTAGCAGGAAACTGTTTGGGGGAGAAAAGGCTTGAACTGTAAATGAGAAGGTGGAGCAAATTCATTCAGCCGCATTTACACTCAGAAGGATTTTTTTTGTTTTGGGAGAAACGTGTGACCTGTGGGTGTTGATTGCTCTTCCACACCTTTGAGATCACAAAACCTTTCAGGGATTAACTGAACCACATGAAGAATTAAAACTAGAATAAAACTCTTGTCTCAAAAAGACTCCCAGATTTAACATTTTATATTGAATAAGGACAGATTCTAGCTGCTAAACGTTCTCACCGCAGTCCTGGTGGAAAACGTGAGGGAAGCAATGCAAGACGCCGTAGAAACAGCGGCAGTAGGAACAGCCTTTCTGGACCCACTCACCATGAGGAACAACGCCACATCGTCTGCAAACAGACAAACCCAAAAACTGGAAAAACTGGCAAAAGAGCCACAGCGAGAAACTGTGGATCAGAACTAAGTGAATGGAAATGTTAATGTTGCTGAAAACACAGGAAACCACCGGGCGGTTTACCTGAGTCGGGTGTCGTACTCGCAACTCCTCCCGGTGAAGAATGGAGGGCA